GCCTAAGGGCCGGCGCACAATAGCGCTTGCCGCCGCATGGCTTCCATTGCGCTGGGGGCCGACCCTCTGGGAGCCAGCAAGCAGGAAGCTAGCCAGCCAGAAGGCTGGCGCTCCCCACCCGCAGCTTACAAGGGAACATTTCTGTAACTGACAGAACGAAAATCCCTTCTTCCTGCACGTGCTAAGTGATCAAGCACTTGGCGCTCCTAGTTCTTCATCTGGACGGTAGTATATAGGTATATACATATATGAAAATTTATTGAGCTGCAAATTGAAGATTAGTGCACTTTACTAAATATGCTATGTGTTTTATATATCATTTTTTTTTTTTAAAAAAGCTCTAACCTTTCATTTCTTGGCAGTTTTTATCCCTTTAGGCCTACGACTGGAACAAGAACTGGCATGACCTGCTACACTTTCATTCTGGCAACATGGGAAGGTAGGGCTTTTCACTACTCCATAATCTGTCAATATCGCTCACTCTTTCCAATATTTTCTTTCCTTAACAACTAGGGTGAGGGAAAAGTGAAAAAAAAAAAAGAAGGAAGGGAAAAATACACACACACACACACACACACACACACACACACACGATAGCTAAGGTACTTATATTACTAAGTTCTACTGGTTTATTGAAAGGAATAGTTAATGTTTAATTGTTTGATCAATCTTACATGCCTAGATCTGGTTATCTGAGTAACCACTTTGAAGATAACAATATATGATAAAACAACCATTTTTAATTTCCTATTACCTTGTTTTGAAATTCTGTATTTTTTTTTATTGTTTTTATGGTGTTTTATCTATGTCTTTGTTTTGTTCTTTTGTTTTTGTTCTTTTCACTTTAAAGCAAAAAGAAATTCCTTTCCTTAAAATCTATTAAGTATTTTCAGTACACAATTAAATTTCATCTTCAGCACACTTTCCTGTGATGCAAAATCTAGAAGCTGTTAGAAAATCTTGCAGTTTTCTGGGTCAAAAACTTCTTTATGGAAAAAACATTAATAAAGTCAAATATGGATTAAAATGATCAATAAAAATGAGATAAAATATTCACAACATAAACCCTGCACAGAAGGTCAAGTCCTTCAATTGAAGTTCTGACCAGTTTATAAAGGAGCAACAACACAATAGAAAAAGGGGGGAAGACTACAATCAAAAAGTTCCATTTAAAAAATATAAACTCCCCAACAAGCATATGCTTACCCTCACCATAAAAGAAATGAAAATAAAAACTATACTGATGCCAGGTATGGTGGTGATGCCTGTAATCCCAGCTACTTGGGAGGCTGAGGCAGGATAATTACAAGTTTAAGAACAGTCTGGGCAACCTAGTCAGACCCTGTCTCAACAAAAAATTGTTTGAAAAGGACTAGGGTTGTAGCTCAGTGGTAGAATCCTTGTGTAGCATACATGAAGCCCTGGGTCCAATCCCCAGTACTGCAAACAACAACAAAAACTATACTGAGATACCATTTTTACACTGTCAGTTTGGATAAAATCCAAAGGTTAAATACCACGTGGTGTTAGCAAGGCTGATGGAATTAGACTTGGCCATATATTGTGTAAGAAGATGTATTTTCTACTTTTGAAAAGGGCAGTTTAACACACCCAAGAATGGTTAGCAGTTCCATTCTTAAGAATTTAAATGGCAGATATACTTTTGTAAGCAAAATGATGCCTAGTCAAGATAACATTGTTGTAATAATAAAATATCGTAAATTACCTAGGTATTTATGAAGAAAGGTCTAGTTAAATTATGAAGTATGCTTATATTGTAGTAGAATTATGGGAAGCTATAAAAACAAGATCTCTCTGTTATTAAGTAAAAAAATCCAATGAGTAGTACAATGTAAAGAGTATGCTAATATTTGTGTAAAAGTAGGAAAAACATGTATATATCTATATTGTTACATATGCATATTGTCTTGCTTACCTTTTTCATTGCTGAAACAAAATACCTGACACCCAAAGTGAAAGGAGAAAAGGTTTGTTTAGCTCATAGTTTGTAGAGGTTTCAGTTCATAGTTGGCTGGCTCCAAGGCAAGATAGCATGGCAGAGGGGCATGTCGGAGAAGAAATAGATCATGGCAGGCAGAAGGCAGAAGTCACCAGCAGCAAGTTGAAGTGACAATAGCAGCTTTTTCTGCCCCTTTATATTCTACCTAGGCTACCGGGCAGTGCCAAACCACTCAGTGGAACTGATTTAGTAATCTCACACCCTTAATCCTAGGATCACACACTCTAGATCCAGCCACCTCCAAAAAAAGCCCCACCTGTGACCTCATAAGGCTTTGGGGGAAACATCTAGACACAAGCCGTAACACATATAAATATGTATAATATGTGTATAAAGTACTCGGGAATAACCAGGATGTAAAATAAGCAGATTGCCTATGGGGAGACATTTTATATTTTTTTGTTTTGATGTTTGACCTTATATTACCTATTCAAAACAAAAACAAACATTGTCAACAATTGTAACCCTCTACGTGGCTCAGTATGGCTGAAATACGAAGGAGTGGTCAAAATATACAGTGTATGTTTAAACAAAAAGTTCACTGCAGTAAAGGACACATTGCCAGTAATATCCCGCAAAATACTTCCCATCACTTTGAACCCAGTTGTTCCATTCTTCTTGCCACTTTCTGCAGCAGGTTTGATACCTTCTTCTATGAGTATCTTGCCAAAGTGTGATAAAAAAAACTATGGTGAATGCTGCTGCTGAGTGCTATCCACAGAGGGCAGGCTTGCAAAACATTAGTGTGCCCTATCCATCTGATCCCCCGGACCTGGCACTGTGGAACTTCTGGCTCTTCCCCAAAGTCAAAATGATCACTAAAGATAAATGTTTTGAGTAGATCAGGACACGGAGGCAGCCAGGACAGCACAACTAGAGACAGAAAGAAGACTTCCAGAACTGCTTCAGAAAGTGTCAAGGACTACCTGAACGAGGTGAATGAGTTCAAAATGGGGGAGGGGTTCTTTGGGGGGAATCAATGGCAATGTGTCTTTTACTGTGATAAATTCTTAAAAATTTACATCGCATTTATTTTTATCACATTGCTTAGGTTTACACTTAAGTTTATTGCCAGAGAGGACTAAGATTTCCTTACAGTCAATTATAAACACATTCGGTGCTTAGAGGCCACACAAGGATGGAAAGTATTTCCCGTCTCCCTCTCCACTCTATTGTCTGAGCAGAGGTCCCTGTTCAGGAGACTCCCCACATCCCCTCAGCTTTGCCTTCTTTGCCCCTTTGCCCCTGTGCTCCTGGCTCCATTTGGTGCTGGAGTCCTGCTTACCTTGATCTTTTGGGGTGGGGGAGAAAACCTCCAAATAAAAAACTTTTTTTGCTAATGCTAATTATTCCTCTAGAGTGGCTTTCCTGTTATGTTGTTAAAAATCCCCTTATCCAAGAGTGAGGATGAGAAGTGATAATAAGGTGAGGAAGAAGAAACCTTGCCAGGTGTGGTGGTGCACGCCTGTAGTCTCAGCACTTGAGAGGCTGAGGCAGGAGGATCATTGTGAGTTCCAGACCAACCTGCACAACAAAGTGAGCTCAAGGCCAGCCTGAACTGCATAGCAAGACCGTGTCAAAAAGACAAAAAAAAGAAGCAACTTTCTACTATCACAAGGACTGAAACTCAGCAAACACATCCCAAATGCTCTTGGCTAGCCTTGCCCTCCCGCATGTGGACCTCTTCCAGAGCTCCCTGCTCCAGTGCTCACACACGTCCACTCAGATCCGCCAGAACAGCACTGAATTCCGTATTTTGAGGAGTAATCAATCAGCGGGTCCATGAACTTTATTTCCTAAACATCTGTTGACTTTTTCTGCTTCTTTTCATTTCTGCTGCCATCACGTCAGCCCAGGTATTGTATTGTAATTGTTATCTCGGTTTAAACGACTGTGGTAACTACCGCCATCCCTTGGTCTTCTTTCTCCTGGAGTAGGAGGTTTCTTCCACTTTCTCCTTCACATTTGTGCATGTGTGCTTGTGTGTATGTGTGTGTGAAACGTACTATCCATACACAAAAGTATATGCAATGGGTGCTTTTAGAGATTTCCTGGTTCACCTATAGTAGCTGGCTCACCTGTGCTTCAAATGTTAGTTGGCGACAACTGGTACTGCTCCTCTCTGCTGTATCCAGCTGTCACACCTGGGTGGTCAGTCTTGCTGTACCTTCAGCTCCCACCTACATGGACTGGACACACCTACTACACCAGTTCCTGGAATGGTGCTTCCTTTGCCTCTGATGGGGTGGCTGTGGTACGGTGTGACTGCCAGCATTCCCTGCAGGATCAGAGCCTGGTCTCCACAGGCCATATGTTTGCTTGGCTTTCTCCACCCCCAACCCACTCTGCTTCCCTCACTTCCCTTCTCCTCATTCCCTAAGATCACTTCCCCAGTAAATCACCCAAAGCCTCATCTGAGGTTCTGCTTCTGTGATAAAGAATTTAAGGCAGTGCATGAAAGCAATCCTTTAGCTTATCAAATTATTATAATCTGAGCAACTACTTGGAGGATAACAATATGCAATATAATATCCATTGTTAATTTCCTATCTTGTTTTAAAATCTTTTTTGAATTGTTTAAATTTTTTTTTATTTTAAAGATTAAAAAGACTAACAAAACAACAATGAAGACAAAATCAAAACAACACAAAAACAGCACATGACCTAAAAACAAAATGATAGGAATTAATAATGGTTGCTCCATTACACATTGTTATCTTTTATGAAGTTGCTCAGTCTACCAGATGTAAGAGTATAAGACTGATCAAACAATCAAAGACAGTAACAAGTAATAATAAAAAAAGAAAAAACATTGGGAATGATGCAGAGCTTCACCATACAAGATGGTAGGAGTCCAACAAGGGTTCTTACACTGCATATTGTTGTTTTCAGATCAGTCATTCTGATTACTAGATTCAAGCATACAAAATCGATCAAGAAAAAAGAAAAATTTAAGCATTGACTGTTCCTTTCAATAAACCACAGACATCAGCAATACACCTACCTATCCCATCTATCCTTGTACATACATATAAATTTTGTTTTTCATTTTAAAAAGAAAAGAAAAAAAACAAGATAACAAAAATAAATACATAAATAAAGAGGCATAGAGGACAATAAAAATGATGCCAAATTTCAAGACATGGTGATAGGATATTAACAATGGTTATTACATTATATAATGTTATCTTCAAAATGGTTGCACATATATCCAGATGTAGGCATGTAAGAGTGATCAAACAATTACATTCCATATCATTTTTATTGTTTTTTTCCTTTAAAATAAAAGAAATTATTATGCTCACTGCAGAAAAATTATCCAAAACTTAAAAATGAGGCAAAGGGAAGGTGTTATGGTTTGTGTCTGGATGTCCTTCCAAACCCTCATGTGGTTATACGGTTTTTTCGGAGGTGGTTGAATCCAGAGTATGACTGATTTTGTAGTGCAATGCTGAGACTAAGGATGCTGGGATTAGGGCAGGAGATGGCTGAAACAGTCCATTGATTGGACTGCCACCGCCCTAATCCTGGGAGACTATGAAATATAAGGGCAGAAAGAGATTTTTCTTGCCCTTCCTCTTGTTGCTTTTGCTGTTTCCCGCTGTCATGAACTGTTGCCTATCTGCCGTGCCACCCTGTCTTGGAGCCAGCCGACTATGGACTGAAACCTCTACAAACTGAGAGCCAAATAAACCTTTCCCTGTTAAACTTTGGGTGTTGGCTATTTTGTCTGAGCAATGAGAGAAAAGTAACTAAGAGAGAAGGCAACACGTTCTTGAAATATCACATTTTGACAGTTAACCCAGTGGCTATTTAATTATTTATCTACAGAATTGGACCTCATACTTCAGCGTTCATCTTGATCACGGTTCTGAGCTGAAATGTGTCCCATTGAAAACTACTATGCTTTTAAAAAAAAAGCAAATTATGGGACAAAAACTATGAAATTTAAACAAAAATTCTTACTGTACTAATGGGGGAGGAAATAGAGTGGGGAAAGGGTTATAAGTTGGTTTCCTCTAAATATAATTTACTGTAGTTTTTAAAATTTTAAAACCATGTATATGTCTTATACAACTTTTAAAAATTAAATTTATTTTCAACTGACACAGAAAAACATAAACATTATGCGTATTAATAGGGAAGCGTGTAATATTTTGATACTTGTCTTTTTTTTTAATGTTTGCCTCAAGTCAAACATCTGTGTTCTCAGACACTTATCATTGCTTTATGATGAAAATGTTCAAAATCTCCTCCAGCTTTTTGAAATCAGCATTACATTATTGTTACCTATGGTTACCCTACTATGCAATAGTCCACCAGGACCTCTTGCTTCTGTCTAACTATAACCTAATACCCACTTAATCAACCTTTCCCAGTCCCTCCCTGTCTCACAGTCTCCCCAGCCCCTGCTAACCCTCATTCTACTCTCAACCTTCATGCGATCAAATTTTTTAGATTCTACATATGAGTACAATCATGTGGTAATTGTCTTTGTGTGTCTGGCTTATTTCACTTAACATAATGAGCCCTGGTCCCATGCACTGTGTCACAAATGATAGCATTTCCTTTTACAGCTGAATAGTATTCCATTTTTTATGTATTTTTTCTTTATCCATCCTTTAGTTGATGAACATGTGGGTTATTTCCAATTCTTGGCTATTGTGAATAGTGTTGTAATGAACAAAGGAGGGAAGCTATCTCTTCAACATACTGATTTCATTTCCGTTGGATCTATACCAGTAGTGGGATGGTTGGGTCATCATACAGTAGTCCATTTTCAGGTTTTTGAGGAACCCCTATACTGTTCTCCAAAATGGCTGTGACAATTCTCAGCCCCATAAACAGTGTGCAAGGGTTTCTTTGTCTCCACATTCTTGCCCACTTTTGTTATTTTTATACCATAAAAAACCACCAAAAATATAAAATAGGAAAAAAACAAATAAATCTAATGCCATAACAAGCCAGAGGCATAACCACACAAGTAACTCTTCTAAATTTCTTTACAACAGTAATTTGATTATAATCCCTTAGAGATATACTCTGTGGAAACTACAGAACAGTTAACAAATTGTTTTTTTTTTAAACAATGATATGTGCAAGGAAAATAAGTGAGGTAGAGAGGAAAACAACAGACTTAAAATGTTTAATGGAGGCAAGGCAATGAATTGCAATTTATGGACCATATTTCGCCCCTGAGTCAAACAAATAAATTGTAACAAATGTTATAAGACAATTGGGGAAATTCTGATATTAAGGAAGCATTGTTAGGATTTTTTTCAGGTTGAAGTTGTTTTTTTAATTTAAGCATTGATTTTATAGACTGTAATCTAAAAGTGGGCTACATTTAAAACGTAATTTTTTAATTTTTAAAATTTTATTTTGTGAGTACATGTGTAAAAGATTTTATATGCATTTTGGAAGAGATCATCCAGAAATGGGTTCTTTCCAATAAATGTGGCTTCTTCCACATTTTCAGTCATCTGACCACAGTCTTGTGAGGTGAACATTATTATCTGGACCTCACTGTACTCTTGAACCATTCTGGGTGATGATTCATCTTTTGTTTATGGGGCAACTCAGGACATAAAGCCAATGGCCTGATCAAAGTTTCTGAAGGAGAATTTCCTGTGGACGGCATCTTTCTCACCTAATTCTAACCATCCTGCTGCTGTAAGGTCAAGTATAACTTGGTTCCTCTCCTCTGCTGTCAACCACGGACCATCTGCACCTGCAGCGGAGGTGTCAGTAAGCGCTGTGTCACCGCTGTGACTTGTTCGCCACTCCTGAATTCTTAAGGTGTGAACATTTTATCATGGTTAATTTTTATTTTAAAAATAATTGTCAGGATTCAGTGATACAAGTGTAAATACTTAAAGATTAAATGGTGTTTGCGTTTACTTCAGAATAATTCTGGGGGAAGGGAAATGCGAGGTAGGTACAGGGAGATTCTATTCTATAGCTGCGTCTTTATATCTGACATTTTCTAGTCTGAAAAATGAATTTACACAGGGCAGCTGGAGAGACATAATTCTTATTGAATTATGCCTTAGAAAGTTAGCAATGCCCTAGAGATACTTTCTTTCAAGGTCCGAGAGAATAATAAAAACTTTGATCTCTTATCACAATTTAGAAGTTCATTGGAGATTTTAAAATATGTTCTAAAACTTTTTTCCATCAATCTGTGTGTGTTTCTTCCTGCCGTGACTATCCTAATTCTATCCTTTTGCCATTTAATGCCTATGATATTGTATTAACTACCTTTCCACTTCTTTTTATAGCATGAAAACAGAATAAAACACATGAGGACCTCCTGCAAAATAGATGCTTAAAACAAAAGTCAACCCAAAAAGTTAGAGAAAGGAGAGGCACTATTGATTAAAAATCCTCAAACTCAACCATGAGAACTTAGTAGGTTCATGGTCTCATTCGGTAAGGAGCGATTTTTTTTAAAGAACAATTAAAATAGAAATACATGCACATAGTATAAAATTCAAAGGTACAAAATGTGCTGTAAGAAAAAATATCCAGGAGCATTAATGCTAAGAGTTTATTGAGTATTCCTTCAGAGATACTCTAAAAATATTTGCACAAAATGTAATTATATACCACAAATGTAAGTATATTAAATATAGCAATTGAATAATCTTTAATGTTCCCTGGTCCCGTGATTTTTTAGGACTCCTTTTCACCTCTAGACTATCATTTCTACAGTTAGCACAGAAATTTTTTTTTTTTTTTTTTTGGTCTTTTTGAGACAGGGTCTCACTATGCAGTTCAGGCTGGCCTTGAGCTCACTTTGTAGCCCAGGCTGGTCTCGAGCTCACAATGATCCTCCTGCATCAGCCACCCAGAAAAATAATTCTGAAATAATATTTGCCATCCTTAGTTTTTTCTTTGGCTTTGAAAAATTATTTCTCCATTTTGGCAACTTGAGCAACTTCATTTTTTTCAGATGAACACTCATAACAGTGCATAAATAAATATTTAAACTTACATGTGCATAAATCTGTTGGATTTCAGAAAACATTCTGCACTGGGTTCTACCAGTGTTGAAAAATTAGCATTAGAAAAAACTAAACAATCTTATTTTGATCTCCTATCTCCCTACTTTCAGAATTGTGATTTTTTATAAAGATCAAAACCATGGTTTGGTTTGGTTTGGTTTGATCTGAGACAGGGTCTTTCTATGTAGTTCAGGCTGGCTCTGAACTTACCAGGTATCCCAGGTTGGCCTCAGACTTGTAACAATCCTGTTGCCTCAGCCTTTGGAGCACTGAGATTATAAACAAGCATCAGCAAGCCTGGCCTAAATGGAGATTTTTAAGTGGAGGTTACTGTGAATTAGCGACAGTGTATTAGATAAACAACTGGGAGATGCGGAAGATGCAAGAAGATGGGAAGAAGGCAGTGGAGACCTAGGAATGGTAAGGAGAGGTTGCAGGAGGGTCTCACTCTCTTGCAAACCTTATAAATTTGAGTCATCCAGTAGGACGGATCTTGAGACCATAATACTGAGAGAAATAAGTCAGTCTAGCTCTCTTAACATCTCACAGTGGAGAAGGGCCCTGACAGCCTGATTGCTCATTCTTACAACCTTTGAAGGAGGCTTTTGTTCTGTAGCTGCAGCGGCTCCCCACAGAGTTGCAGCTGCTTAGAGAGTCTTCAGATATTTGAGTTTTAGAGTTGGGCAGCTTAGGTTTATAGCACCTACATGATATGAGATATTTCTACACCAAATAACTACATATGGAACTGGGTCAGTTATCAAAAGGTATATACTAAAAATGTTAAGTAAGTTTTGACATTAAAATACACTTCCAAGTATGAAATAAAATTATAAAAATGTTGTAACAGTCCTCAAGCCTGCTCCCACTCTGTGACTCTCTTTCCGTCTTTATTCTCCATTTCTAACATGCCCTTTCTCCTTTTTTCAACAGTTCAACTGGGTCCCAAGACACTGGCTGATCTGTCCTCAAAGGCAGGTGAAATATGAAGTTTTGGGCTAAGACAAGTTATATTTACAATAAGTTAAACTACTCCCAAACGTCATGGGATGAACAGCTCCTCAGTTAAATAGAAGTTATAAAAATGCACCATTCTAAAGATTTAAGAACCCATGATTCCACAGAAAATCCAATACAACTAAAATTGCTAAATACAGTAATTTTTCTCTATGACTTTTGAGTCTGTTTTATCATTCCATTGTTTTTATCATTCCATTGAACCAAATGCTTTTCTTCAAAAGCCCAGTGCCCACTCTCTACAAATTGAAAATTTCTTACGTTATCTTATTCCACAATGTTCACAGGTTATATAGCCTTACAAATTGTAAATACCTGTCTTCAATAATTTTCTGTGCATTTTGTGAGTCCTGAACAATTAGGTCTGATAGAGATCACTTGCAAGTGGTTTTATTTCAAAATTTAATAAAATAGAGAAACAGTTTATTAAAAATCCTGAGGTTATCACTGGATTCTGAAAAAACTTCCTGTTAAGAGCATACTCTGAGCTCAGAACATTTTTGTCCTGTCAGAAAGTATGCTGGTATTGTGCTTCATGACTTCGTTGGATTTGCAGAAGCATTTTTATCTTTCTCCTGCCCATGTGCTCTGTCTAGCAGAAGGGTGCTCTCTTTGTCATTGTTCTGCAGAGGGACAGAACCAATAGAATTGTGCGTATAGTAATGAGATGGGCTTTATTAAAATAGTTTACATGACTCCATGCTGAACCTCTCTGCAGGCTAGAGAGCTGGGGAAACCAGTAGCTGCTAATTTAGAGAAGCTGACAGCCTCAGAACAAGAGGAACCAGGGACACAGCCTCAGTCTGAGGTTGAAGTTTGGAGGCTACCTGGAAAGCAGCCGGTAAAGCCTGGATTCAGAGGCTGGAGAACTTGGAATTCTGATGTTCAAAGGTGATGACAGGACAACAAAAAATCAAGCACTCAAGAAAAGTACCAAGGCAACCCCCTTCTTCCACTGTTTGATCTTTGCCTGTCCCCAGCCTATTGGGTGGTGTCTACTGGAGTCAGTGTGGGCCTTCCCCACTCAACTTTTTTTTTTATTCATACTTGTCAGTACATAATGATTACATTTGTTGTGAGGAGTTGGTATGTGTACACCACACATTTTAATTCTTTTTCTTAATCTCCTTCTCTGCTCCACCTCTCCCTCCTCTTTATATCTCTTGGTCTTTTGTTTTGTTTTGTTTTGTTTTTTCTCTGGTACCAGGAACCGAACTCACGACCTTGCGCTTGCCAGGCAGGCGCTTTGCTGCTGAGCTAAATCCCTAGCCCTACATCTCTTGGTCTTTTGCCTTTTGCAAAAGTTCTATTTACCTGTTTCTTATTATCTCTCCATCATTTTGCTCTTTAACTTCTTTATACTTTGGGTTTCTCACATAAGAGAAACCATATAATATTTGTAGGTTTGATTATTTCATTTAAACTTCTGGTCTCAGCCGGGTGTGGTGGTACATGCCTGTAATCCCAGCACTTGGGAGGCTGAGGCGGGAAGACTGTTGTAGGTTCAAGACCAGCCTAGGCTACAAAGTGAGTTCAAGGCCAGCCTGAACTGTATAGTGAGATCCTGTCTCAGAAAGACAAACAAACAAACAAACTTCTGGTCTCAAGGTACATCCATTTCCCTACAAGTGAATCAAACATTTTGGCTGACCCACACGCCAGTGTTCCTTGGAAATACCCTCATGAACATGCCCACAAGTATGCTTTACCATTTTCTAGGCATCTCTCAATCCAATCAAGTTGAGAAGTAAGACTAACCATCACAGATACTGTTAAGATGTCAATGATAAGACTATTATGTTTCTGTAATGTGTGGCACTATCTTGCAGGACATGGCATTGCCTAGAAGTGACTTTAGAGTTTCTCCAATGTTAATATGTTGTTTTATTGGTGGTCAATCTCACATTTGTGTTTTTTGTGATTCCATCCAATAGTAGGCTCATCGGTAAGAATATGTGACCTTTGCTACAGAGAAAACTCATACTTGGTATTTTTATTAAGATAAAGCTTCATTAAAACAGGCTACAATTCTGCTTTCAAAGGGGAGGATGGTATAGAACAGATAGCGGAGAAGATATGGAAGAGAAGTTGGAGTTAGCTATGTCTCTATGCAAGAGAAATTGGCGGCTAGGCCAGGTGTGGTGGCACATACCTGTAAGCCCAGCACTCAGGAGGCTGAGGCAGCAGGATCACTGAGAGTTTGAGGCCAGCCTAGGCTACAATGTGAGTTCAGGGCCACACTGAACCGAACTGCATAGTAAAACCCTGTCTCAAAGAAAAAGCGGTGGGGAGCGAGATACTGGTAGCTCTACTTACTGACTTGATGGTGGAAAGGGTAGGTGAAGAAAATAGAGCAAAGTAGTTTTCTAAGCAGATCTCATGTACTTATATGATCCTTGGGATATTTTTATTTCATTGCCAACTGTCAGAGTAATCATTTAACTTTGACCAAATGACTTATTTTTCCTAGTCTCAATTACACAGCATATAAAATAGGAATAATGCCACCCGTTGGAGTAATTATGAATATTTTAAGATAACAAATGGGGGTGGTGGTAGAGGTCAGTGGTAGAGTGCTTGACTAGCAGATGTAAGGCCCTAGGTTTGACCCTTAGCTCTGGAAAACAAAGTTTCTCAAAGATGATTGAGAGGGGCAGAAAACGAGTTATGCACAAGTATATTTAGTGATGTGGCTCCTTGTTTAACAGTTTTGTTAAATTTCTGCAGTGAGAGATAGTAAGTCAGTGACTAACTTGAGCCTTGAGGGTTACCACCAAACTTACTATCTGTGCATGTACCTGTTTTTAACAAAGCTCTTCTTTATAACAAACAATTAGTTATTGGCTTTAAAAAAAAAAACAGCAGTCCTCCAGTTATTGAGTGATGGTTTGTTGCCTGGAAAATGGAGATGTTGATTGTTTAAAGCACTTATTATGACTTAATAGTAGATCTGGGAAGATAATTACTTGCCAGATGGTAGCCAATCTACTTTAAGTATTTAACACAAATTTAGGTCGCAGTATACTTGTAAGTGCCTAGTCATGATGACCTAATCATTATGTTTCAATAAGAGGTAGTGGAATATTCAATGTTCCAACAAGAGCTGTTTTTCTTATTGACAGCGAATATCCTTGATAAAGAAAAGCAGACTATTCTGAACAGTCATTTCCCAAAGCAAGATTTCAACTTCAACTTGGAGTGTTTTTACCGTTAGTGTTTTATTGGGATTTAAGGAAAGGCAGTAGAGATCACAGGACAAGTTTATCATCATCACCATCAACAACAGCAGCAACAGCAACAACAGGAACAACATCATCATCATCATCATCATTTTATGTTCATCTTAATCACGGGTGTGGAAAGCAATAAACTTTTGTCTAACTATTGGTTAATCTGCTTCTGTAATTGCTTCTGCAATTATTAAAAGTCGAGCGGGTGGAAATTATCCAGGCAAAGAAATGCTCAGCAGAGACCTGGCATACCTCTGTGCAGCAGAGGTATGCCATTCGTTTCAGCGACAAATTGGTTTTCCATTTTTTGAGCTTAGATTTCAATATTTTCCTCATTAACTCTCAACTATGGTTTGAGACCATATCAAGAACCAAATTAAGGTCAAGCTTGTCTTTCACACCTGAATATGAAGTTCTCTAGAAGTATAAACTGTCAAAAATAGAGCACGAATAGTATTTATAAGCATATGTCTTAGACTTAGCCAAGTATAAATCATCCTGGAGAAATTAAATGGCAGCAGTGCTAGTGCTCTGCACTGGAATGTTGTGATTTTGATATCGAGACCATATAAATAAACCACAAGACAGACATCCTGAAAAATACTCGGTTTTTATTATTGTCTGCTTCATGAAACTGGGGTCAGTGGTAGGAAGTGGAGGACAGAGTATAACTCAAGACTAAGGAGTAAAAATAAACTTAAAAAGAGACAAGACATTTTAATAGAGTAAAACAGATGTTAGGAGCTATTTCCTTTACTGTAGCTGTGAGCAGTCTGGCTAAAATGTCAACAGCAGAAGCATTAATAAATAATTTTGCTCTGTTCCCTTAATAATGGGGAAGCCATCAATATTGCTCTAAGTTATTCTTTCAGAACTCATATTGTGGTCCATTCCTGAAGTAGGATCAACTTAAAATTTTCAGGATAGGTACTCAGAATTTTTCTAAAGCACTTTCATTTACTTCATAATTGGAGTAGATATATATTTAATTTTTGAAGAGTATCTGGATAATGGACAAGATAGGAAGGAAGCATAAAATGACATGATGGAGTTCCTCAGCACTATCTAAGTTGCGCTGTCCATTAGGGTTTGTACCCATGGACACATGGGACCACTGACCACTTATGATGACATTTAATGGAAATTTTAAAATGTTGTTCAGTTTAGATCCTCTCCAATTTTCTGCAGCGCTCATATTGAGGTCCATCGCCCAGTACTGGGGCTCTAGGAGTAGCTTAATGACTTCCTACCTTTAGTCTTGCAGCATATAAGGCTTGTCTCAAAAGAAGTGTCAGTTATAAGTAAATTTTAAAACTTTTTAAACACATAAAATACAAAAAAGTTTACAAGTATACAGTTAAATGTGTTATCACAATAGGAATACAACCTAATAAATGATCCAGGTAAAAATGTAACTTTGATCACATCTCAGAAGTCCCCCAATTTATAATCTCCTGTGATCCCTTCCTTCTCCCTCCCTTCTCTCCAAACATAACATTATCTTTACTTTTAATACCACAAATTAACCTTTCCTGTTTTATATAAACAGGGTAAGTAATAAGAGCGCATTCCTTTGTGTCTGGTTTGCTTGCCTCAGTGTGGGGGTTACGGGATTCATCCATGCTGTGAAGTGCATCTCGAGTTCATTCATGCTCATGGCTGTATCCCAACTTAACATACGAATATTCCCAATTTACTTTTGGGAATGCTGGTTGTTCTGAGTTTTAAGCCATTATAAATAATATTGTTTGAATAATTGAGAGCTTTTTGCACATTCTGTCATATCTATCCTCAGCAGTGGATCAACAGGGTAACAATATATGCTTATATTGCCAGTTTTCCAAAGCAGTTCTATCAATTTATACTTCTATAAGTAGT